GACAATGTACCATGTTCACATGAAGATCACGACTCATTGCTTATCAAGAAACAGGAACTCAAGCTTGAACATGTGCAACAACTCAGACAGGTCCATGCAATGATTTTAAAACAACAAGTAAATACTTGAACTGGATTCTGAAACTGACAGGAAGCCAGATCTGCCAGAACAGGTGTGATCCCTCGCTTGGAGCAGTTGGGGGGTATCTATTTGCTCCCTCTTGGTTCCACACTTAGAAAGCACGGCATCGCATTCCACTGTTATGCTGATGATAGCCAGATTTATGTCCCACTAAAAAAGAAGGAGGGTTACTCAATTAGCCCACTGCTAAAGTGTCTAGAGCAGGGGTTCTCAAACTTTTTTCAATCATGTTCCCCCTTTGAAAAATAATTCAGCCAAGTCCCTGATCAGCGCAGAAACAATTTGTTAGGGACAAACAGCCTATAAAGAGGTAGAGCGCAGCGCTGCACCATCAGTCTGATTTATTACAACAACATGAGAAACACTTAAATGCTACATTTCAAATGTTTACAATCCATCACTAAATTCATGGCAAACCAATTTTAACATCAAGCAATAACTCAGAGACGACATTAGTTGCATTGAACTGATCTTTTTAATAAGTTGTACTCAATGTAGTGAAACATGGGCTTGAGCTTCACTGAGGATCTTCGTCATTCTGATAGGGAGGCTACCTGCAGCTATTACACTTCACCTTTTGAGATATGTGAAACTCTGTTCATATAAAACCCACGCTGCTCAAACTTCCTTACTTTTCCTAAAATTGGTTTATTTATTTATTTGTTCATTTGGGGCGTGGGGAATGAAGAGAAACAAATATATGAGCATTTTATGAGCATGGGATTTTGACCCCTCATATAAACATATGCATAATGCTGCGCTATACTTTGTGGCCACACGCCGTTGCCAAGCAACGCTTATTGTTTAGGTCCTTTGATAAGCAGGCAGTCATATGATTAACTAGAACTAGCTAGATCCGATAGATTTGGACATAAACGCGAGTGAAGTCTTACGGTACGTCCACACAGCAGCTTTTCAAAAATCTTGAAAATCTTGGAGATGGGCGTGTCTGAAAGCTTCGGGATTTTTTGCGAGCAACGCGACCAACAACCAATCACATGAATCTCCCGCCCTCGACATACAAAGCAAAAAATCCCGGGGATTTTATGCGAGCAATATATATATATATATATAAACTCCCCAAACAGGCGAAAACCTACCAGTTTCACCTACTGTCTCTGGCACCTCCCTCCATGCCTGGTTCCTCCGGTTTGTATCCCGGTAAATGGTCTGGTCGTAAAGAACCGGGTGATTTGCTACCGTAATTTCTCGTTTGGAATATGAGGAAATGAACTGCGGTCTGGCTCTCCCTGCTTACACACGGTTTGATTGGCTAGCGCTTCTACTGTCAGATTTGCATAAACGGGATTTGATTGGCTGACGCTTCCAGCTCAGCTTCAAAAGTAGAACATTGCTCAACTTTTGAATCCTGAAAATCCTGGAAATCTTCGCTTCGCTCCCCCACAATGCAGTTCGGCGAAAAGCGAGGCAAAGTGACGTCATCCCCATTCAAAGTCAACGGGCAGAGAAGCGTTGGAAGATTTATTTAAAGCTGCTGTGTGGACGTACCGTAACCGGACACGCGAGAGAGAGTAACTGACAGGAAGCCAGTGAAGATCTGCCAGAGCAGGTGTGATGTCGTCATATCGTCTCTTCCCGGTAAGAGGACGTGCAGCCGCATTTTCGACCAGCTGCAGGCGACGGATCAAACACTTATCAACACCAATATACAGGGAGTTACAATAGTCTAAACGAGACGTTATAAATAGGTGGATTAGCTGTTCAAATCCCTCACTAGGAAGATAGGCCTAACTTCCCCAGAAGCTTGTCAACTGAGCTTATCTGTTTGTCAAATTTAAAACAGTTGTCAAAGATGACTCCAAGATTTCTGACAGAGGGACGGCTGTAGGAGGCTAGGGGGCCGAGTACACTATGAAAGCCATCCAGGAGATACTCAGATATATAATATGGCAGAAACCTTGGAGTAGTTATGGACTTGGGTTTACATTTAAAAAAACACATCAAAGCTTTTTGTCACCTGAAAAACAGACTGAAAACTCTTCTGACCAAACACGACCTGAAAGAACTCATGCCTTTGTTTTTAGCAGACTTGATTACTGTAACAGTGTTTTCACAGGTCTCTGTACAAAATCAATAAAACAACTCCAACTCATCCAGAACGCTGCTGCCAGAGTCCTGACCAGAACTATGAGAGTCGACCACATCACCCCAGTTCTCAAAAACCTGCCCTGGCTTCCTGTCACACAAAGGACACTTCCGAAACGGGATTTGATTGGCTGGCGCTGGCTACTCTGGCATCCCTGGCGGAGACGGACCGCTATGCTACCCACAATTCAGTTCGGTGAAAAAGCGAGGCAACGTGACGTCACCCCATTCAAAGTGAATGGGCAGATTGAAGCTGTCGACGCTGTAGTGTGCGGGCCGTTAGAGTCAGAGCTCCATTCACCGAGGCAGCTTTTAGTTTTTATTCAACCACAAGCTTGGAACAAACTGTGGTCCGCCCAACCCTTGGTTCTTTTAAATCAACGTTAAAAACCTTTCTTTTTAATGCAGCCTATCCTGAGATCCTTTAACCTGATCGTTGCACTTTTAGTTGCAGCCAGTATTTTATCGCTTTTATGAATTGCCTTTTTTTGTGTGCTTGTTTTGTTTTTAATTCATATGTGTTGAATGCCTATGTGAAGCATTTTGAATCGCCTCTGTGTCTTACAATGTGCTGTCCAAATAAACTAACCTTGAACCATTAACAGAAAATGAGATGCTGTTCTGAAAGCTGTTCCAGATCAAATGTATTATTGATTCAGACTCAAATACGAAGTTAAAGTCACACAGTAGGTGTTACGGCCGCTGTCTCCCGGTCCTGTTCATTCTTTTTTGAATGTGTTCTATGTAAATGAGCTGTGTGGTTGCCCTGACGTCATTGGCTACCCATCTCCTGGTCCGCCCCCGAAGATTGTGATTGGAGCACGCCGGGCCCGACGCCCTCCAATCGCAGCGCACAGCCGGCGCACACCTGCTGGAGATGACAAAGTAGGTAACACTAGGTCTTGTTACAACAAGCTTCATTTTGTTATTGCAGACAATGTACCATGTTCACATGAAGATCACGAGTCGTTGCTTATCAAGAAACAGGAATTCAAGCTTGAACATGTGCAACAACTCAGACAGGTCCATGCAATGATTTATAAACAACAAGTACATACTTGAACTGGATCCTGTAACTCAGTGGTTCTCAAACCTTTTTCAATCATGTTCCCCCTTTGAAAAAGAAATTCAGCCAAGTACCCCCTGATCAGCGCAGAAACCATTTGTTAGGGACAAAATACCTATAAAGAGGTAGAGCACAGCGCTGCACCATCAGTCTGATTTATTAAAACAACAACCTTGTAACCAGTGGTGTAGTGGGGATTTTTGTACTGGGGGGACGCTATTTTAAATTAGGTCATCCCAAACAATGCCACACTAGTGCGCACGCGCGCAGTGCACTCACAAAACGGGTCCACAGAAACTACCGGTATGCTTAGTCCTACTTTAGTTACTGTACTGCAAAAAGCAGACAGCGCTGCGCTCAACACACACACAGACTCAAAACCATGGACACACTGGCACATACGTTACATTAACAATGTATAGGCCTAAATTGCATAAGCTACAGTATTGCAACTAAGCAGACAGCGCTGCTTCTCTCTCTCTCCACTTTCAAATTTAAAACTCATAACAAACAAACAAAATTCCCAAAGTTGTCCTGAAATTAAGTTATTAAATAAACAAAACGAAAAATATATATAGCCTACTAATGCAAACATTGAATCTGGACTTGAAATTATTCTGATTAGGCCTAGCCTACATTGCAAATAAGCAGACAGCGCTGATTTTCTCACACACACACACACACACACACACACACACACACACACACACACACACACACGCACACACACCTTGCGTTTTGAAGACTGATAAATCCGAAATGGATGAACAAACTCTGCAGCCCAGTTTACCAGCTTTGCAGTCTATCCACGGGTAGCCTCTTGTTTCCTCCGCCACATCTCCTCCGTCCTTACCTCTGGGAAAGGTGAGCTTGAGCTAGCCAGGGGAACGTTGCTAGCGCAGCTAACGTGCACGTTAGCTAGCATTATCCACGTCTTTAGGCGGCTCTTCTGATTATGTATTATTAGCAGCTTCACTTGTAGCTTCGGTGCTGCTAGCCTCTTTCTTCTTGTGAATTATATTCTTTTTAGAAAAGAAGTCAAGTAAAAAACGTTTGCCCTCCATTATAGAGCTGTTTCGTTAGCGTTCTTGAGGGAAAGAGCTGCCGCAAAATCGGCGGGCGGTAAACTGGCCGTGGGTGACACACCCACAGCTCGCCGCGGGGTCATGAGCGTGATGACGAATCATCATTCTTTAAGGAAATCGTTTTTATTTTTTATTATAATTACTGTGAAATGTATTATGTTTTTGTCATTATTACAACAAATACACACTTGCAACTGATAAGACTGGCAATGATTTTATATTTATTAGACTATTAAAAAAAAGATCATGCTCCAAATAAGTGGGGGTACGGCGTACCCCCGCGTCCAACGCCCACGACACCACTGCCTGTAACTGAGAAACACTTAAATGCTACTGTTTTTTATTATGATGTGTTGAATGTGGAGCACTTTGAATTGCCTCTGTGTCTTAAAATGTGCCGTACAAATAAACTAACCATTAAACCTTGAACCTTTAACAGAAAATGAGATGCTGTTCTGAAAGCTGTTCCAGATCAACTGTATTATTGATTCAGACTCAAACACTAAGTTAAAGTCACACAGTAGGTCTTGTTGCAACAAGCTTCATTTTGTTATTGCAGACAAGAAACAGGAACTCAAGCTTGAACATGTGGAAGTTTCTTATCTGAAAGGGAGGTGGGGAGAGTATACATGCTCTGTGTTAAGGCAGCTGGCTGATTTGGGTTCTTACTGTTGAACTTCGGTCTCTCTGAGAAACCTAACCTTTATTTTGTGAACTCTGCTCATCTCCTAGGAGTAAGGTAAGAATACCCTTAACTCAGAAAAGCCTTGCAGAAGTTGTATATTGTGTTTAAAATGGACATGAAAGTGAAAACACCCTAAGGTTAAAGCTGTACTTTCATTAGGACATATCTTAGTTTTTGATATTAGCTTGGTTTTCTTTGATGTTCTGTTATATGCAGGGTGTAGGGATACTTTCAGAAGTACCGGAGCGCACCTATGATTTTGAAGCTTATGTAACTTCTGTCCAGAGGTGGGAGAAGTACTCAGATCTTATACTTAAGTAAAAGTAAAAGTACCAGAGAGTATGCAAACTCTGTTACAGTAAAAGTCCTGCATTAAAGTTACTCAAGTTAAAGTAGAAAAGTATTAGCATCAACATATAAATAAATATAAACAGTCCAGACAGAATGGGCAAAGCGTGGTCAGTCAATAAGATAAACTAATGAATACATGTGTGTATTCAGTACCTGCTGTCCACAGCTAACAGTATGAGAACGCTCCTTCACTGAATGAACTCACGACAGCTTTTTTATAGAAATTATAGTAATAATAATAATAAATTATATTTATATAGCATATACCCATGCAGTGGTGGGGCTCAAGTCAGTATTTGCAATGTAATTACATACACGCTCCCCTTGACAGTGAAACGACACGCGTGAGGTTTAGATTATTTCCCTGTCTCAATCCAAATGGAACTGTATGAAATAAAAAGGCACATTTGTCTTGTAGTAAATAAAAAGGGCGACCTGGAGCCAATCCTGCAACTTCCCCACAGGTGAAAGAGTTGACATGCTGAAAACCCAACCCCTGCAGGGGGGTCCGGGGGGATACTCCCCCTGGAGATTTTTTGAAATACTAACATAAAATACACATTCTGGTACTCTCTTGAGAAGAAAAAGAAATAAATCTATTACTACATATTTTTTAAAAATGAATGCCATTTTAGTTTTGTGTTACTTTGTTCTGAAAGCTGAACCTGCTGCTCCTCACAGAGAGAACAGGGAAGAGGCTGTGAATGACTTTACATTGTGGATAAGGGTGGATAGCCCCCATTGTTCTGTGTGTCAAAATGAAAGACAGCCCACACACCTATCAATCATCAAACCGTGGGGTCTCATTTCATTACGTGTTGATTTCTATCAACACGTAATGTTGTATCGATGTATGGAGATATAGGCTACTACAGCAAAAGTATTCTCCGTGGGGACTTCCTGCAACAACACCACGCCGTTATCTTGATTCTGATTGGCCAGAAGACATTATCAAAGATGTTCTATTGAGAAGATACGTCAAAACAGTTTTCAAAACCGTTTCTAGTCTTCGGTATTCTTGTTTTTGGCGTGAGAATAGTTTGGGCAGCGTGAGAGCGTGAGATTGAGAGTGAAAGTGTGTGTCACACGCCAGATGCGTGAGAGTTGGCAACCCTGGGTTTTTACAACTTGACGGATTTGGGGCTCGAGGGAAAGGGTGGGGTCAAATATAACGCCACGGTTGCGTGCCTGTGTGGAGGGGGAAACAGGGATGCATAGTATCTTGCTGATGTTAAATCTGTCTGTCTTTGTGTAGAAGTGCATTGTGTCTAAATACAACAGGTGAAATCAACAATGAAGACACACGTTAAGAACAAATGTAATCATGCAGGTACTGAAGATCAGCTGTAAATAAGACAGACTATTGTAAGTGCTGCAGAGACATTAGAAAGACAGTAATGTCGCATCACTTTAGAGTTCATGGGGAACTCACCTGGAGGAAAGCATGAATGCTGTGGTGGCGTTTTAATCCGTGTCTACATGTAATAGCCCTCTCTGTCGGGTTGTGGGTTTTGACGCATCTCTCTTTGTTTCCAAAGAAATGTAGCGGAGGTCGTTGTTGAATCAGAGGAGCTTTATTCATTGGTCCAGACGGCATAGAAACAGGAAGACACATTTCCTCGCTTCAGAGTAACACTTTACCGCCTTAAATTAATATATTTTAAACCATAGTGTGACTCACAAAAATAAATGATTAAGAGTTGAATCCTTATATTATTGTTAAGCCTAACATTCAGACCATAGTAATGAAATGAAAATGGCTCTAACAAATACTTTCAGATGTAAAAAGCAGGTGGATAAATGTCGTGGAGGAAATAGAACAATACTGGCTTTTGGATGTAGTGGGGTAGAAATGTACTTCAGGACATTGCCTGAGTAAATGCTCCAACAGCGGGAAAAGACTGCGTTCAGGATCAGGTGGATCACAGTAGGCTATAACTATTAGGCTACATGCTAACTGTCCATCTGTCCTACAGTCAAGATTTAGATTTATAACTGCTTCAACAGTGATTATAAGTATTTCTAACTATATGCCTCTGACCTGTTAGTCCCAGGATGCGTCTGCTTTGTGCTCTGGGTCTCTTCTTGGCCCTGCTGCATGTGACCTCCTGTCTGCGGATTGGAGCCTTCAACATCCAACAATTTGGGGACAAGAAATCAAGAAATAAGGATGTCATGGATACCATCAAAGAGGTCTGAAACTGAATTTGGAATTGAATATGAGTTTGTCTTGTTGTCTTGACTGTATCTTGGCAAGTAATGACGGAAAATACTGACCTAATATCTCAACATACTAATTTAGTAAACTAAAACACCAATTACATTTTTAAAAAGTGATTTGTTTTGCCCATGTTTCTAACACTAATGACTTAAAGGTCATATTTGTTGACATATGTTTTACAGCTCTTTTAGTTAGTAGAACTGTCTATGAACGTTAATGTGTAGAATTAGTAGTCTTCCCCTAACCTAGAACAACAATTAACACCAATTGATTAATTAAACTGACAGGAAAAAAAATAGGTTTTGCTGGTACAGCACTTTGTTTTAACAACATCATCTTCTAAAGTTGCCCATTCATTAAATATGACGTCACTGCTTCAATAACTTCAATCTGATTGTTTTTTCTTCAGATTGTCCTTCGCTATGACATCATTCTGATCCAGGAGGTCCTCGACCCAGATGGGAAAGTAACCAAAAGACTCATGGATCTTGTTAACAAGTAAGACTTATGAAGAGCAGACACAGTATTCTAACACACAGACGCGCAGACTGTGAGGGCTGCTTCATTCATCTAAATGTTATCTTGACTGCTGCAATATCCAAATCTCAGCAATCAGTCATTTGGCAAAACACGTGAAAATATCTGAATGAAGTGTTGTGGAGAAGTCCTGGCCTACAAAAAGTATTCTATAGACCTAATACAGACACACTTCATACTATAATCAATTCATATATTTCCTTTGTGTGTGTGTGTGTGTGTGTGTGTGTGTGTGTGTGTGTGTGTGTGTGTGTGTGTGTGTGTGTGTGTGTGTGTGTGTGTGTGTGTGTGTGTGTGTGTGTGTGTGTGTGTGTGTGTGTGTGTGTGTGTGTGTGTGTGTGTGTGTGTGTGTGTGTGTGTGTGTGTGTGTTAGTGTGTGTGTTAGTGTGTCTGTGTTTACTGTGTGTCTCCCCAGCGGTTCTCCTCAGTTCGCATACATCTCCAGTGAGCCCCTGGGTCCCGGCAGCTATAAGGAGAGATACCTCTTCCTCTACAGGTAAAACACAAAAGGGCAAAAACAAAACACCAAGAGTCAAATTATCTTTTGTATGGTTTGCTTTCAAACATCAGTGAGCAGAAACAAAAAATAAAATATGTGTTTGAAAAAGAGTGTTTAAAGCATAGAAAATGCTCCAGGAGTTTGGAAACGTCTTCAAAATAAGAATTCCATCCTTCCCCTGCAGGGTTCAGACGGTGTCCGTGAAAGGCAGCTTCCAATACTTCCCATACAGATACTTCTTCAAACTAGCCCACTCCCAGCGTTGGAGTGAGATCCAGGTCTTCGAAAGACCGCCCTTCGTCGTCAAGTTTTCCTCCACACAGACCGGTATTAGAGGAGAGACTCTGTTCTTTCACTGGAAATGTAGATTATCTCAACTATTCTAGAGAACTAAGCACCAGACTTGTGTGAGAGGAGATCCTGAATTTTGTATTACCGGTTGAATACAATTAAGTAGATGTCGTCCACACGGTTAAGAAACGGAGCCCGAAAACGAAAACGGACCGAAAGTCGGTTTCAAAAAAGTCTTCCATCCACACGGAATCGGCTCAACATTACATTACATTACATCACATTGCATTTAGCTGACGCTTTTATCCAAAGCGACTTACAATAAGTGCGTTCGACCAACAAAATACAAACTTGAAGAAAACATAATCATATAAGTACATCAGGTTTCATAGAGCAAAAACATTTCAAGTGCTACTCAACTGGCTTTAGATAAGCCAGCCCTTTATTAGTATATAAGTGCTTTGTTAATAGTTCTATCGCTCGAAGTGGAGTCGAAAGAGATGAGTTTTCAGTCTGGAAGGTGTGCAAGCTATCTGCTGTCCTGATGTCAATGGGGAGCTCATTCCACCATCTTGGAGCCAGGATAACAAACCCACGTGTTTTTGCTGATGGGAACTTGGGTCCCCTTCGCAGCGAGGGTGCAGCGAGCCGTTTGGCTGATGCAGAGCGTAGTGCACGCGCTGGGGTGTACGGTTTAACCATGTCCTGGATGTAGGAAGGTTCAGATCCATTCGCAGCATGGTACGCAAGTACCAGTGTCTTGAAGTGGATTCTAGCAGTTACCGGAAGCCAGTGAAGGGAGCGGAGGAGCGGAGTGGTGTGGGAACATTTAGGAAGATTGAAGACCAGACGAGACGCTGCATTCTGGATGAGCTGCAGAGGTCGGATGGCACATGCAGGTAGACCAGCCAGGAGGGAGTTGCAGTAGTCTAGGCGTGAGATAACGAGAGCCTGGACCAGAACCTGCGTCGCTTTCTGGGTCAGCTGGGGACGCATCCTCAATAAATATGTCCGTCTAAACGAAACCGCTCGACCCGCTGGAGACGCTGTAGTACATATGCAGGGCCTGTAAGTGGCGCTGTACTCAAAATACACCAAAAGCAGCGAATAAGACCCCCCGAGCATGATTGCCATGGTTGCCTGGTTGCCCTTCTGGTTATTCCCTGCGGTGGATTTAGCAACATGTAGTTCATGTAGTTCTCCATGTCCACTTGTTGCTGATGGTTGTGGTGGAGGAGCTGTAGATTTTGCACTAACATCTGTATCATGGTCAGTAGCGTCTCGAGCACGAACGCAACCCTGAGATCCGCCATTGTTGTTGTTGGCGAAACTCATCAGCAATGACGCAGGAGAGGTGGGGAGAGGCGGGGCTATGGCGTCATCGTTATCAGTATAGGGCGTACACACGGAGCCGCAAGCGTTTCTTCTCCAGACTTACCCACTTTGGGAGCCGTTATCAAAGTGTATTGTTTTCGGGCTCCGAAGCCGAGGCTCCGTTTCGGCTTCGTGTGGACGAACCATCTATACGATAAAGAACTTTAGTGGATACAACTGATATCGTCTCCGTGTGGACGGGGCCTTACTTACTTTAGTGGTATTTCTTCTGTTTTCATTGTCTCTCTTCATTCACTCCTCTCTCTCTCCTGGTCTCCAGATGTGGAGGAATTTGTTCTGATCCCCATTCACACCTCTCCAAGAACTGCTGCAGAAGCTGCTCGACAATATAAGAAGTCCACTGTAGGAGAACTGCAGTCTCTTGTTAACGTGGTGAACGAGGCCAAAAGCCTTTGGCATAACAATGTAAAACTCTACACCGTAGACACACCAAACTGTTCTTTAGCTGAACTGTTAGTAAAAGTAGTAAAACACATATTACTATGGAAGCCCATATCTGCCAATGTGATAAAAACACAAGAAAATATCCCGTAAGTCATTTTAAATAAATTGTCAAACCAAATGTAAAAAAATACTACACAATGAGAAACGTTCTCAAAAATCACATGGTATCAAAAACATTTAAAAGGCATAATTGTAAGATACTGATTCATTATTTGGCAAACATTTATAATTATAACAACTTAAAGAATCTTTTGTATTCACAACATTAGCAGAAGTGGGCTTCCATACAGGTAGCGGGAGTAGTACAGACGCTTATGTGTAAAATGAGTGGATTTCCCCGACAAAGAGCAACATTTAGATAGGGGGCGTTTACATTTGTGTTTTTTAGATTTCCCATTACCATGACATTATTCTGATCTAGTTCTACAAGAATTAGTTTGAGCTATTTCCCTCTGCCTACAGAACATCATGGTGCTCGGAGACTTCAACGCGGCCGGCACGTATGTAAGAAGGGATGACTTCCGGAATATCCCCCTCTTCACCGACAACAACTTCCACTGGCTGATCGATCACGATGTTCAAACTGCAGTGTCGGGGTCTCAAAAGGCTTACGACAGGTGGACACACACAGATAATCATAAAGAAACTTGCATGCACACACACACTCTTAATCACGCCTCTCTTCCTGTTCCTGCAGAATTGTAGTCACCACTGAAATGAACAATGGAGTTGTGCCATGCAGCGCTGACGTCTTTAACTTCAAGAATAAATATGGTCTTACCCCGGTTCAGGTAACAACAACTTCCAAGTACCCCACTAGGTTTATTGCAGTGTCATTGTACTTAAATGTCTGAAGGTGTGGTGGTGGTCAAGAGCAGTTTGCCTCGTTCGCATGTGTCCGTGGCGAGGGATCAAACGGCGGTCTCTCCAGCTCACTGTCACTGGGTGACAAATATCAATGCCTTCTCAGTGAGTTTCCCAGCTTGACGCAGCCCACCTTTTCCGTCACCACTACCAAACACGGGGTCGAGCACCACATTGACACTAGAGGCCCCCCAGTCTATGCTAGGGCCCGACGGCTAAACCCTGACATGCTGGCGGTCGCCAAGTTCCACCCGCAAGGTGGGCCCCACCCTCGGACTCCCTTCCAGTATAAATAGGAAGGAGGCCCGACAATCTGCTCCCATAGAAAATAACTTTTCTTCAGCTATTCGTAGAGCCAGTGGGGCCCAGCACTTAGAGGGCTGCGCCAATACTCATAGAAGCTGGGGTTACAGTAGGTAACTTCAGTTCTATTTCGTATATGGCTTCGCCCTCTAAGGCTATCGCTATTGGGTTAAGGGCGAAGCATGATGTAGTCTGCGCCCCACTGGGTCCGCCCGGCACTAGAAGCACAGACACACCTGCTCAGATAATAACCCATGCCTATTGCGCCATGCGTAATGGCGCATCACCGTCCCTGGAATATAGCATAACATGAATATTTTCCATGAGGGGACGAAGGCTGGGAACAATACATACCGGCCACTGGGAGAAAGTAGAGACGAAGGTCACACTTTGCCCAGTGACAAAAAGAGGGGGAACAGCATCTCTCAGCGTGCAGACAGGCAGGAGAGCGCCCAGCTGGATCCCTGACGTCACTCACTCTGACAGGACACCCAGTCCAGGGTGTGTCAGAGAGGAAAGGGAGACATCCCTCAAATACAATTGAATAAATGAACAGGGGGAAGACCAGGATGCAGCAGTGAAAATGTCTTCCACTGACATTCCTCCGTGCAATGCCGTGGAGGAGGACATTCCTCTGGTGGAGTGCGCACTGATGTTCTCCGGGGGCTCCACCCCAGAGGTGACACAGCCTCACACAGCCAGTGTGACAGCCGTTGTGCAGACAGAGGCTGCCCGAATGAGCGCTCTCTATAGTGCACAAACAGGCGCTGGGAACGGCGCCGGGTTAGGGCGTAAAACAGCTGAACTGCCATCTCCTTGGATCCGGAGGCATGACGGAGCCACAGAGAGAGCAGACAAATCACTCACCCTTTTCTCTGATAGAGCCAAAAGCAGTACTACTTTGGCTGATAACAGTTTAAGGGGAACCTGATCAGGTTCAAATGGGGCTTTGCTTTAGTGCGCGTAACACCAAAGCCAAATCCCACTGAGGCGCCAGTGTGCGTGACACAGGTCTGAGTCTCCATACTCCTCGCATAAAACGGCTGGGTGGCTTCTGATCGCTCCCTCCACCTGAGAGAGAGCGTCCCTGCGCCACGGAATTTCCTACGGTCTGCCTGACAGCGTACGCTGTAGGCATGGAAACCAGGACGCTCCCGCGCACTCCGGGGCTATCAGGACCGCTGATAGCCGCTTCTCCCGCACTCGGTCCGGGAACCGAGGGGTCAGCGGAACTGGTGGGAAAACCGTATAACAGCACCCTGGGCCACGGCCGATGTGCAAACGCGTCTACCCCCCAGAAGGGGGTGATCCTGCGCTCTGCGTGCCCCTCTGTTCAATTCGCCGGGAATATACATTGCTCTGATGGAGAGCAATGTGTGTGTGCGCCCAGAACAGCAGCCTCCTGTGGGGGAGACCCAGGGGGATCACCACGCGACCAGCTGATGTCATGCTGAGCAGCTGTAGCACGGAGAGGGCTGTCACCACGCTGCGGGATGTGACACGCCGGAGGAGAGCTGTCAGTTTCTCCAGCTGTCAGAGAACCGCGAGAGCCGCGAGAGCCGAGCACTCATGCTGGCTGAGTTTAATTCCACTCCCAGATAAATGATTGTCTGGGAGGGAAGAGGACAGATCTTCTTCCAATGTATGAAAAAACACAGGCTTGACAGATGCGATACGTCTGTAAGCAACTTCCTCCCTGGAGCGAGCCCGCAAATAGCAGGTCGTCCAGATAAAACCACACTCTCATCTCTCCTCTGTGTAGTGGCTTCAGCCGCCTCTACACACTTTGAAAAAGTGCGAGGAGCCAGGAAATATCTGAACGGCAGACGATTGTCTGGTCTGATATTCCCTGAAATGAGAAACACAGGAATTTCCTGTGTTTCGGGATGATGGGTGGAAGTATGCATCCTTCAGGTGGAAGTGGACCAGTCGTCCTGGTGAACACATTCCAGCACCTGTTTGATCGTCAGCATGTGGAATACTGACAGATCGAGGATGTCTCATTGCCCCAGTCTTTTTCGAGATTAGAAAAATAACGGGAGTAAAAACCCCTGATTTTTCTCCCTTTGAGGAAACCTGGAAATATCCTCTTTCAACAGGAGTTCCAGCGGCTCGGATTGGAGCGCAAGACATAGCTTCTGGGAGGACAGGAGTGTTTCCTGTATCCCATTGAACTGTGGGGGGGGGGGGAGAGGCGAACTGCAGGGTGTACCCTCTGCTGATCAGCCTGCTCATCATCTGTCCATCAGACACACGTGCTGCCACTCTGAGAAACACTCTGAGAGCGGACATGCTCGTGATGTGCTGTGACGTGCTGTGACGAGCCACGTCAGAGCCTTCGCCGCCGCTGCCCGTGAGGAAACCCAAGGTGGGTGTAGGAGCCAATTAACACTGGGTATACAGTAAAGGTAGGAACCTATGTTTGTTGGTTCGAGGTTCCGCCGGAAGGCCATACCGTTTTTGACCACACACGGATGACACACGGAGAACACACACACACGGACGACACACGGAGAATACACACACACGGACGACACACACAAACACGGGATTACAAACAAGCAAAAGGTATTGTGTAAACCGTAAATATCGTGAAGGGAATTAAATGGACTGTTTCGAACTGGAAACTTTGTTTCTGACCTTTATTCGGCAGCAAACTTTGTGAGCGTCAATTACAAACAAAGCGGATCCTCAGAGGCTTAAAGTGTTGGCTTAGCCTCAACAGTGGGCCTGGACCGAAAGGGCTGCGGGGGGCCTCCACATGCTGCGTCTCACTCTGGCTCTCATCATGCAGCGCGTACACGCTCAGGGGATGAGTGGAGGCGTGTGCAGTGCTGTCCACACGAGGCGTTAGAACGGCGCTCGTGGGCTCATTATGACCGTGTGTAGGAGGTCAGAGGAATGCCTATTAACTATTAAATCAATCAACTATTTCAGAACATTGAGGCTATACATTTTGTTGTTTATACCTTTTAAAACATTTTCTTCTAAATATTAAGCTTCTTCACTATTTTTCCTACTCTTCCAGTTTAACATTTCACTTTTCTGCATTTCTCCGCCAGGTTCAGCAGCACACTTAATTCAACTAATAACATATTCAGCTTTTTAAACTCTTTTATCTACACCTTGCGCCAAATGCTACTCCTTCCACATACTTTCAGCTGGAGACTTCATTCCAACTTTAAAATGATCACAAGACATTCAGCTATAAAACTTGTTCTTCAGATTTTTCATATCTTTTACAATTTTTGAGATATTTAACTTAGTTTGGAGCTTGGTAAAGAGGCCTTCTTCAGATTTTAACACGAGTGCCACAGTGACGTGTCCTAAAACCCGGAAGTAAACTCCTTCCGGTTCCCTCGATATTTCTCCATAGGATTTTGGAAAATAGCTCAATGTAAGAGACGGATCACGTTTTGTTCAGCCGGATAATATCCACATGTCTACCCTACTTTTATAATTTTCGAATCATAAATCTAATCGATGGATTTATGATGGATAGATTACACTACACTCCTTGGACATAATTTTTCATGAAAAACGTAGGAAAACCTCTCCTACGTTGAAAAATAAAAGAAATTAAGCGAACATTTTTAACAAAATGCCTCTTGAGGGCATGAAGTGACACTTTCAACATGTCTCCATTAAGGCCCATTGTAATTTCAGCATGATCTTTTCCTCAGAGCAGCATACCTTTAGTTAATCTGCCAAAAAGGCCACATTATTGACCCGAAAGTACACACAAATTCTGCAACAAATGTACACAGAATTCACACGCATTTTCAGCAGGAAATGCATTTTCTAGTTAGCTATTAGCTTCCTTTCCACCTTGTGCAAAGAAACCAGCTGTTATATGTTTAACTGAGCTATGTGTAGAGGAAACTTCTGTGTAGCTATGCAGTGGGGAGTCACCGACTCAGGAAGGAGACACGGTAGGAGCAGTAGCTTTGATGTCAAACACTGATGGTTTATTTGGAGTTACGGCCGGAGGATTCACATCACAAGTCCAAGAGCCAGAGGTTCTGACTTCACGGTAGAGTTGCCACGTCAATTCTGGAGAGCCTCTCTCTTGCCAGCCCATTTAACTGGTTCCACAGAGAGTCATCAACATGTTTTGATAAGATAGCTTTAGATAGTTTGGGCACACTAAGTTACCAGCTTCCGCCACTTATGGCCTTGGATATGTCATGCCCTGGAGTCCTCAGACAACAGAGAAGGAAGTGTCCCAGTGTACCCACAATACAGACCATCTGTGACCCAGTATTGACCGGTCACAGAATGGGAACAATAACATTATTGGCTGAAACAGCCTGTGTCCTTAAAGGAGGTAAACAGACATCAAGGTTTGTCCTGGGTGTCACATCTTGGCGTCTATGATAATGATTTCCATAACACTATGTATGTATCAATTAACAAATTGGTCCACAAGGGGAAACTTTCTAAAGTGTTTTTTTTGTCTATTCTCTCAGACGCGTGCCGTCAGTGACCATTTCCCTGTGGAGGTGGAGCTACGGAACAAAGGAACCACTACACAGACCCCCACTACACAGACCCCCAGACGGAAGCAGACCTACCAAGAGAGGTTTCTCTATATTTTGTATGGTTTGAATGCTGTGAGGGGAGCTAACCGCTGTCAACAGTGGCAGCGCTAGCGTATTTCTGTATGGTAGGGCTAACCCATACAGTGGTGGGGCTCAAGTCAGTATTTGCAATGTAATTACATACACGCTATATCGCCCCCCTTGACAGTGAAACGCCACGCGTGAGGTTTAGATTATTTCCCTGTCTCAATCAAAATGTAACTGTATGAAATAAAATGGCACATTTGTCTTGTAGTAAATAAAAAGGGATCACTGTGAACGTGACCAATGGGGATACTGAATGGTGGTTCCGACTGATCTCATCAGTAAGGCATGACGCAGACCCAACGTTTCGTTGCTCTGATTGGCTGTAGGTCTGACTCTATTCAAATTGCATTCGGAGGCATTTTGATCTGACCGCGGCTGCGCTGATATCATAACGCCAGAGAATTTCCACACCTTTAGTGTATAAAACTCCCCCACTACTTAGACTATTCCTTGCACCCCTCGAGCATAACCCCGAATGGTCTCAACCATATTGCATCAGAAACGTGCACTTGTTGTAACAGCAGGATCAGTTTGTGTGTTGTGGACACGACCCGTATATTTTCGCAATCCGTGTTCTCAACATTTTGCTTATTATTTAATTTAATTTGCTTACTTTAACATCATTTTTCATGGTGGGTCTAAGCCATTTCTTGGTATGGCTGTAGCCTACCCCAGCCATACCCTGGCGCCGCCACTGGCTGTCAAGGACTGTAATGACCGTTGCTAAGGAGGATCAAGAAAGAGAGAGGAAAAGAGGTTTAAAAAAAAAAAAAAATCTTAATAATGAAAATCTTTCCACAAAAATCATGTTTTGCAAATTATTTGGCGGCAAATATTGAATTTACATTTACACCCTTTAATATTGTATTTGGGCTTTTAGATGAAGACACAAGACGCACAGTTAATAAATACAACTATTCTTCTGGTTAAAATACATATTTTTAAAAGTCAATCAAGGAGTAATCTTAATTTTAGGTGTTTGAAGAGTAGATTTAAAAATACAATTTCTTTTGGAAAAAATGATTGCCACAAAAAATCAAAGGGCGGCTCAACACGCCATGACATGGTAAATAATGAGCTCTAATGAAGAGTGGGATTTAAAGGAACAATAAACATTCTTGCCATGTTGTGTTTATGGTGCTTTTTGGTTCAACCTATTTTTGTTTTGTTGAAGTGGTCCTGATGTCATCTCCTATGTTATTGTTGTGTCCATGTTTGTGTCTTTAGCTTGGTACAAAATAAAAATGTATGTTTTTAAAATGTGGCGGCCCACTTGTAATGCCTTTGCGGACCACTGGGGTGCGCGGTCCACAGGCTGGAATATAGAGTTCTTCTGGAAACCATGCAGCTTTGAAAAAGAATTAAGAAATGAATTATTTCATTGCAAACTTGTCTTTTTTGAAATGTCACTCACTTTTATGTAATATAGTCTTTAGTGGCAGGAGTTAAACTGTGTGTATGTGTGTGTGTGGCGCAGTGGATAGAGCCTTAGTGTTGGGATCAGGGGGTCACAGGTTCAAACCCCACTGCACTCAGCATGATGTTGTGTCCCTGGGCGAGACACTTCACCCCTAATTGCTCCTGTGGGGATTGCCCACAGTATTGAGTATGTTAGTCGCTTTGGATAAAAGCGTCTAACAAGTGACATGTAATGTAATGTCATGAATGTAACACAGAAGGTATCAGCACTTACAGTACATCATGTATGTTAGAGCTTTTCCAGATGCTCAAAGCGCTTTAAATTACATATTACATACATTAGACATCATGAATGCTGTGGACAATACCCACAGGAGCACATTAGGGTGAAGTGTCTTCAAGGACACAGCGGCATGTTGCCTGCAGTGAGTCGACACCGTATCAATGGTTTAAACACAATGTTTCCCTGCTTCTTAAACCAAACCCAGAGTTGGTACGGTTGCAAAGAAACATATTTTTGGATAAAGCAGGATACAACATCCTTTAACAATCTTTGTTTTGGTCGAAACAGTAGCTACTAAGATCTGATAGACCCCTAAAGGATCTTGAGCACCTATATGTATGTTCATGGTTTGGATCAAAGCGTCAGCTAAATGTAACGTAATATAAGATATATAAGATATATAAATATCTTTTTTTTTTAAACATTTCTGATATTGTTATGGTTTGTCATCAAGTCTGTATTTCATATATACCGCCTGTATACATACTTAAATAAAGGGTTGCATGGCAGAAATAGCTCGGGTTAGCGACACAATCAAATCAATTGTCCCTGAGCCTGAGGACAACCTGTCCAACAAATCCATTTTGAGGTGTTCCCTGCTGGCAGACAGAGACACCAACACAGAGGTGATACAAGTGAGAATCAAATAAAAGCATTAAAATCACGGCCTCACAAACCGGGACCTGTAATATTGGGTTACGTCAAAACACATGAACACATATGAAACCATGAATCACAATGATAGCCCTGTTCCGTGTGTGTGTGTGTGTGTGTGTGTGTGTGTGTGTGTGTGTGTGTGTGTGTGTGTGTGTGTGTGTGTGTGTGTGTGTGTGTGTGTGTGTGTGGTCTACCATTACTATACTTGTGGGGACCTAAATCTGTTTACATAGTCATGTGTGGGAGGTCCCCATAAGGGGAATCATTCATTTTAGGGTGAAGACTTGGTTAGGTTTAGGATTAGGGTTAGGCATGTGTTGGTTAAGGTTAGGATAAGTCTCCAGGAAATGCATGTAAGTCAATGTAATGTGTGATGTATACATGGTGTGTGTGTGTGTGTGTGTGTGTGTGTGTGTGTGTGTGTGTGTGTGTGTGTGCGTGTGTGTGTGTGTGTGTGTGTGTGTGTGTGTGTGTGTGTGTGTGTGTGTGTGTGTGTGTGTGTGTGTGTGTGTGTGTGTGTGTGTGTGTTTGTGATATTATAACTTGGATGTACTTGTTAAACAATGAAAGGAAATAATACCACTGAGCTTCATTGACTGTCTGGCTTGTTTCTTTCTAATCGTAGTACAATATTTAAATGATTTGTATAAACCTACAGGGTGATGGTTTGCTGTATCGCCTGTTCGTCTTTTCTCGTCATCCCTGTCTGCTATCCATCCCTCGTGACTAAGTATTCTTTGTTGTCTCTTTGTGTTTTGGTTTAGCCTTTTGAGCCTTGAGTTCTCAGTTTGATCCAAGTGAGCGCTCCTGCTTCTGGTGTCCACCGTAACAAAGTACTTTGACGAAGACTTGGCGACAGATTTGAGTTTATTTATTGTTGAACACAATCAGCTATCATTCAATATATTATTTGCACAAGCAATGCAAACCTCTTCTTTAAAGGGACACACAAACATCTTAAATACCTTTTACTTTTACCTGTATTGTTAATTAACAATCTTGTTTAGAACCAGTTTGAGAAACTCAACAAACATGTCTCTTTAACAGAAATCCTGACCAGGATACTTGAAGGTGGGGTAGGTAAGTTTGAGAAACCGGCTCGAGATACACTTGTTGTTATATTCCATGGAATGCTCTTAACATCCCGATAGCAATGAATATCTGAAGTGCTTTGACAACAAATCCATAACAAAATGTCATCAGTTGAAGCCGTGGCGCTGTAAAAAGCACGACCAATCATCTGAGCCGGCTAAAGTAACTGGATGGCCTACCTGCCTGTCAGCCTTCCATCTGGGCACAAACTGATCTCGTGCCCTCATTGGTCATGTGCGCGTTCGTGTGTGTTGGAGGAGGGGCTCTGTGAGGAAGTCTGAAAGAAGAGGCAGATTTGTTCCGGTTGTGTATTTTCAAATTCTAGCGCACTCGAGCTGGTTTCTCCAAAATGACCTACCCCACCTTTAAGATAATCCACAGAGCTTGCTGCAGTTTCATGTAGGAACAATGTTTGTCTAATGAAGGCCGACATCTCTCCAAAGCTTTGCAACTAACACCGAAAGGATCTAATTAATATGCAGAAATACAAGTTCAATGGGAAATATGTATTTTAGATATCAGGGTACCTTTAAGCTAGCAAGGCCACAATATGCTTGGCTGACATTTTAACTATTCATACAGTAGCAGGAAAAGCAAAGAATAACAACATCAACACATATTAAATGTCCAACCATAGCAAAGGAACTGCTTAATAAGTCAAATGTAAATCACAGGTAAATACCGCTGCTGTGCGTTCAGGGCACAAACACGTGTAAACAACAGGGTATCCCTATACTACAATAAACATTTAAAACGTGCAGTTAATTCCATATTCATTCGCAAAAAGATGAAGTATCTGTATTCAAAAACATTTTAATATATATTCCTGATGCTGTCAGTAATGTTGGCAAACACATGACTAATGAGGCAATTAAGTCCTATTTTTATCTTTACACTAAACTTTGAATATATGTCAGCATACTGGGACTTTCAACCGAGTCGTTATATTCTAAAAAACATAAAGTTGTGCTCTGTCATTGAAGGTGAGTGTGTTGTGTGTGTGTGTGTGTGTTGTGTGTGTTGTGTGTGTGTGTGTGTGTGTGTGTGTGTGGTGTGTGTGTGTGTGTGTGTGTGTGTGGTGTGTGTGTGTGGTGTGTGTGTGCTGTGTGTGTGTGTGTGTGTGTGTGAGAGAGAGAGAGAGTGGTGGTGTGTGTGAGAGAGAGAGAGTATGTGTGTGTGTGTATGCATGTGTGTGTGTGTGTGTGTGTGTGTGTGTGTGTGAGAGAGAGAGTATGTGTGTGTGTGTGTATGCATGTGTGTGTGTGTGTGTGTGTGTGTATGTGTGTGGTGGTGTGTGTGTGTGAGAGAGAGTGTGTGAGCGTTGTGTGTGTGTGTGTGTGTGTGTGTGTGTGTGTGTGTGTGTGTATGTGTGAGAGTGTGTTGGCTAGCATTACTATACTTGTGGGGACCTACATCTGTTTACACAGTCACGTGTGGGGACTCGCCTCCCTTATGGGGACAAAATGGAGGTCCCCATAAGGGGAATCATTAATTTCAGGGTGAAGACTTGGTTAGGGTTAGGGTTAGGATAAGTCTCCAGGAAATGCATGAAAGTCAATGTAATATCCCCTGAAGTGATTATACATGGTGTGTGTGTGTGTGTGTGTGTGTGTGTGTGTGTGTGTGTGTGTGTGTGTGTGTGTGTGTGTGTGTGTGTGTGTGTGTGTGTGTGTGTGTGTGTGTGTGTGTGTGTGTGTGTGTGTGTGTGTGTGAGAGTGTGTGTGGGTGACTCGTAGTTTGTAATGAGCTTTGAGGGGTCGAGAAGACCTGATAAAGAGCTGTATAAGTCCATTTAATATTTAATGTGGGAATAACAGAGCAATCCTGCATCTGCGTTGCTTGTGGTCGTTAGTATGGTTTGTATTAATCTTTCTGTAAATTAAGTTAAATGTCCAATACCTTCATCGATGTTAACGTATAGAAAGTCATCGTGAGACTGGTATTTCTGGATGCTTAACTTGTATTACTTGAAAAGTATAAATGCTATCAAGTTGAGTCCAAAGTACATTTAAATATAATGACAGAGGGGGAATGGGGGTTTTTCAATCAGAGAGTCAGTGGTTTGCTCCCGAACTGAAGAGTTTGTAAGTTGTATAACTTTAAAACTGATCTGAAGTATTCAAGTTGAAAAGTATTCGAATAAAATCAGTATAAATGGCATTTAAGAGTACAAACGGTACCTAGCACAGGCTAAGCTGCATTTATGTTGATCTGTGCAATGACAATAAAGTTGAATCTAATCTAAATAGTGTTTAACATTAACATTATATTCCCCCAAAAAGTGTGAGAGCCCCTGATTTACAGTATATGGTCATTACTTATGCTAAGTGTACATTTATTTACAAAGAGGTTTATATCTAACCCTCCTGTTGTGTTCGCTTCTCCCCATGTCTGTTCTAACTGCTCTTACATTAACACAAAAACCACTAATCATCACCAAGTGTTATTTATCACCTTTAAGATGTGAACAATGTCTCAGACTACGGGTTATGAACAGGGGCGGACTGGCCATCAGGACGTTCGGGACGAATCCCGATGGGCCGGTACTGAAGTGGGCCGGTCGGACGATGTGGGCCGGTCGCAGGGACGTGCACAGACACTTGGAGGGGCTATTGCTCTAAACTGGAAAAAGGGCCTCCCCCCCGAAAAAAAATATAAGACCAAAACGATTATTACATTAATTAATTTGAACAGTAATTCACAGCTAAGGCAACTACTTGCATTCGGTGACTTGATTTTTTAAATGAAAACCAGGGACAATTTTTGTTTTGCGGTCCATATCTCATTAAAATATCTAATGTTAGAAACTATTAAAGAAAACATGGGGACAATTCAATGTAGTTTGACCACCAGACATACTGATAAAATAGGGCTTCTATAATGACCTTAAATAAACTCACTAATTAAAGGTGGGGTAGGTAAGTTTGAGAAACCGGCTCAAGATCGCTAGAATTTGAAAATACACAACCGGAGAAAATCTGCCACTTCCTCACAGAGCCCCTCCTCCAACACACACGAACGCGCACATGACCAATGAGGGCACGAGATGAGTTTGTGCCCCGATGGAAGGCTGACAGGCAGGTAGGCCATCCAGTTACTTTAGCCGGCTCAGATGATTGGTCGTGCTTTTTACAGCGCCACGGCTTCCACTGATGACATTTTTTTTATTCATTGCTATCGGGATGTTAAGAGCATTCCATGGAATATAACAAAAAGTGTATCTCGAGCCGGTTTCTCAAACTTACCTACCCCACCTTTAATGAAACCAGTTCAATACGCATTATTCTTATTCTTATCATTCTTTATGAGCGCAGTAACGGTAAGGTATCGAATGACTTATTTAGTATTCCATAACTTAATAACAGAGATGGTCAAATTAAAGTAGAGACATGGCAGAAATCCTACAATGAAGCGGGCAGTGAAGTGTTCTCTGAGAGAGAGCGATCAAGAGAAGAGAGCGAGCGGCCCCGTCGAGGGAGTTTACCATGCGGGCAATTACATGTAAGAAGAAGGAGAAGAAGAAGTAAAATGAAGCTGGTGTGTTTCCCGCAGCGAGACACATAACAATAGCAATTGTGGGCTTATCATGGTGATTCAGCCACAACAGAAAGAAAAACAAACTCTCGCTCTCTCCAGAGGGGCAGGTCAGCCAAAAAGGGGAAACGGGCCGAAGTCACTAGCACCCCCCCCCCCCCACGTCGACAATTTACTAGGTATTTACTCACGGTACCGAGGTGGGCCGGTCGAGAGTCCCGGGCTGATATGTAGTCCCAGTCCGCCCCTGGTTATTAACTGCAGTAAATATATAAAGAATAGCCACTGAAATGTATTCCAAAATAACCTTTTCCCGCCGTGTGTGTACTATCGGATGGATGAACATAATCTAGGGTCGCCCAAATGTAAAACACAATATTTATGATTGATGAAAGTAGTAGATTTGACCCAAACACGACAGGAGGGTCACGTGTTTTTTTGCATGCAGTGTTTTGCTTCTACAGTATTTCCGTGCGTTCGGTATTTGCCCTTACGAGGTGGTGGTGGAGTGTCGTGCTGTGAGTGTGCGCGGACGGTGTGAAGGTGTGTGAGAGTGTGTGTGGACGAGGCTTTGTACAGCGTGTCTGTACCTGGCTGACATGAGGTTGTACAGAAGAGGGTTGATGGCGGCACTGAGGTAGAAGAGGACGGAGGACACCAGGTTAAAATACTGAGACAGATGGTAGAGAAAATACGAGTGTGTGTCAGAGAGTGTGTGTGTACGGTTGAAGCCTGTGTCGTTGTGTGTGTTATCGTTGTACAGATCGTATGTGTTTGAATATACGTCTGTGCTCATATCTTCAGATTGTGCGCCGAAGTGTGTGTCGGTGTGTGTGTCGGTGTGTGTGTCAATGTGTGTGTTTCTACAGATGTCGCAGGATATTCCAACTGAGTGTGAGTGGTTGAAGGGTTCAGAATCAGAGTGTGTGTTCATCTCCGAGTGTGTGTCTGTGTGTGTTTCCTGTCTGTCCGAACCGATGCCCAGAGCTAGACTGAACATGGTCCGACCCACATGGAAGGGCAGCCAGCAGAGGACGAAGGCCAGGACGATGACTCCTGCAGGAGGAGGAGGAGGAGGAGGAGGAGGAGGAGGAGGAGGAGGAGGAGGAGGAAATCATTGACAGTTTTAACCATCCATCAGGACCAAAACCCAACCCCACAATAACTGTTTAAAGAGAACTGGTTCAACATGTTGAGACGTTTATTCCAAACTTAAACCCACCCTTGATATCAAGCCCCGCCTCTCAGACCTAAGCCACGCCTCTGATTTGTAAAGCCCGCCTGTAAGACTAAAGGCCCTGACACACCAAGCAGTCACCAGAGAACTCGCCGACGCCGACAGTTGCGTCGCCGTGTTCTCCTGCGTCTCGGCCATGTGTCGCACTGGAACACACCGCAAAGACTTCAGCCGAGTGCGTATGAACTGCGCATGCGTGAGTGGCAATAACTCTCCTTACCAGCAGGCGGCGGTAGTGTTTATTCATCATTCAAAAGAGACAACAACCGGAAGACGGACTGCGTGATAACCGAGAGAAGAAGAACAGACTACGTGATATAAACAAACAACAAATAGCGTGTGCGTTCCATTTTCACTCTCGTCCATCGAAAACATGTTTCGTGCGGTACTGGAGCTATCAGCCATTGGAGTGTTGCTTGTGGAAGACATTCTCAAGCAACCGTTTCACTTCTCATGCACTGATTCGCTAGCTGAACAGCCAATCAGAGTGATTTCCTTGTCCGACTGCCTGTGGCCGACGTACGGCCGATTCAACATGTTGAATCGGCCGTACGTCGGCCATGAAAGGCCAAATAAGGCGTGTCACGGCCGGCGGTGCGGGACACACCAAATTGAGTTTGGGCGATAGGGCACGCTTCGTCGTCCGACTAACGAAAACGGCCGATTTCGGCCTGGTGTATCAGGGCCTTAAAGCCACGCCTCTCATTCTTAAACCCCGCCTCCCAGTTGCCACGTTAAGTCCACCCTCAGTTTAGTCAAATGTAAGGAAAGGGAAACAAACTCTGATTTCAGACAGGTTAAATCAGACGGGTTCATAATTGAGACAATGGAAGATATCGATGAATACATTCTCGTACCAGCTGCATCCCAGAACTCAGCCTTAAGTTTGACCCAAATTCAGTTTCCCAAGATAGTTCTGTTTTAGTGAGGGGACGAGCATTACAAAGAGATTGCACACATCTGAAATCATACCCTTTTTGTCATGTGGACAAGACGGAAAATGGGGTTGCAACAAAATGTCCCACTTGAAAAAGGACCTAAATGTTAGATACCAATGTGATCCATCTGAGCAGCGCCTTCTGTGTGTTGTAATAAAGTGCTGAAGGTGTGTGTCGGTGTGTGTTTCTCACCCAGCATTTTGATCGTGTGCCGGTGACTCTGGTCTCGGCGGCTGCTTTGAGGACGCAGCCACAGCGTGCGTCCAATCAGGCTGTAGACCAATCCCAGAATGCACAGCGGCACCAGGAAGTACAGGTTGGAGAAGATGATCATGGCCGACAGCAGGCCGGAGGTGACGGCGTAATGCGTAAAGCGACACTCTCTTTTATCCGTCTCTCCTTTTCCTCCGCCCTCGTCTTCTTTCATTTTATTTTGACGCTCAGCTTCCACCTCTTCTTCTTGTTTTATTTTCCCTCCACCTCCATGTTTCCTCTCATCTCTTTCCCCTTTTCCCACTTTCTTTTCTCCCAACATGTTTCCCTCCAATCCTACAGGCATTGAGTATCCTCTTCCTCCTCCACCTATCATTAACCCTCCTCCATGTTTCCTCTCATCTCTTTCCTCTATTCCCACTTCCTTCTCTACTATCTTCTCTCCCCAGTGTATTCCCTCCAACCCTCCATCCATTGAGGCCCAGTGCCCACTCCCTCTTTCCGCTCCACCTAATGCCCCTCCCTTTTCTCCTTCCCACCCTCCGTTCTCCCCGCATCCGATGAGCTCCTCCCTCCCAACGTCCTCCACTCCCACCATGACCAACACTGGCGCTGCGCTGACGGCCGCCCCGAGCCACAGGCAGCCAATCAGAGCCCTCGTTCTGCGCCGTGTGACCAGGGTCTTGGCTGTGATTGGCCAGCAGACAGCGAGGTACCTCTCCAGCGACAGGAAGGTGATGTGGAGGATGGTGCAGAAGGTGCAGCACTCGGACAGGAACATGGTGAGCTTACAGGCCACGTCTCCTAAATACCAGGGGCTGGGCCTCCAGAGCTGGAAGACACACAACAATCACGTACGCTCGCTTACAGCTTGATTTCAACAATATTATCAAAAAGAAGAGCAAAGCAGGGTGGAGCCAACTGCAGGACGCACATGTTTTACTGAGACCTTACAGGTCACCTAGGCAAAATCCACTTCTTCATGTCTCTTCTACATCAACATGTGTCCCCTCTTCTTCATGTCTCTTCTACATCAACATGTGTCCCCTCTTCTTCATGTCTCTTCTACATCAACATGTGTCCCCTCTTCTTCATGTCTCTTCTACATCAACATGTGTCCCCTCTTCTTCATGTCTCTTCTACATCAACATGTGTCCCCTCTTCTTCATGTCTCTTCTACATCAACATGTGTCCCCTCTTCTTCATGTCTCCTCTACATCAACATGTGTCCCCTCTTCTCCATGTCTCTTCTACATCAACATGTGTCCCCTCTTCTCCATGTCTCTTCTACATCAACACGTGTCCCCTCTTCTTCATGTCTCCTCTACATCAACATGTGTCCCCTCTTCTTCATGTCTCTTCTACATCAACATGTGTCCCCTCTTCTCCATGTCTCTTCTACATCAACATGTGTCCCCTCTTCTCCATGTCTCTTCTACATCAACATGTGTCCCCTCTTCTTCATGTCTCTTCTACATCAACATGTGTCCCCTCTTCTTCATGTCTCTTCTTCATCAACATGTGTCCCCTCTTCTTCATGTCTCTTCTACATCAACATGTGTCCCCTCTTCTTCATGTCTCTTCTACATCAACATGTGTCCCCTCTTCTCCATGTCTCTTCTACATCAACATGTGTCCCCTCTTCTCCATGTCTCTTCTACATCAACATGTGTCCCCTCTTCTTCATGTCTCTTCTACATCACCATGTGTCCCCTCTTCTTCATGTCTCTTCTACATCAACATGTGTCCCCTCTTCTTCATGTCTCTTCTACATCACCATGTGTCCCCTCTTCTCCATGTCTCTTCTACATCACCATGTGTCCCCTCTTCTCCATGTCTCTTCTACATCAACATGTGTCCCCTCTTCTCCATGTCTCTTCTACATCACCATGTGTCCCCTCTTCTTCATGTCTCTTCTACATCACCATGTGTCCCCTCTTCTCCATGTCTCTTCTACATCAACATGTGTCCCCTCTTCTTCATGTCTCTTCTACATCAACATGTGTCCCCTCTTCTTCATGTCTCTTTTACATCAACATGTGTCCCCTCTTCTTCATGTCTCTTTTACATCAACATGTGTCCCCTCTTCCTCATGTCTCTTCTTCTTCTTCTTGTTTGTGTGTGTGTGTGTGTGTGTGTGTGTGTTGTGTGTGTGTGTGTGTGTGTGTGTGTGTGTGTGTGTGTGTGTGTGTGTGTGTGTGTGTGTGTGTGTGTGTGTGTGTACCTTGTACAGATCCAGAGGCAGCAGGAGCAGGATCAGCAGGTCACTGACGGCCATGCTGCTCAGGTACAGGTAGGTAGAGCTTCTCATGTGAGGTCGCAGCCAAACCACCAGGATCGTCAGAATATTTCCCAGAAGCCCAAAGAGCATCAGTGGGATATAAATGACAGTCACGCACACTGGAAGAGAAAATCATAATGATGGTTTTATTAGAATTGCATCATGCATCACTTCCTGCCCCCTGGTCTGGAGGTCAATGGTTTTCTGAATGTGTTTGTGGTAGTTAGCCTGAAATAAGGTCTGTGATTTTAACAGTTTGTTCTACGAGATAAAATACGTCAGTAAATTCCCCACTGGTGGATTTAAGAACAGCAGTTGCTAATAAGTGTCTAAATCAAACAGCTAAACGTCATCACGCCCAACTAGCCGCCTTTAGCTTAGCGGTTGTGACGTGAAGTGTTGTGAAAATCCTGAGTGTCCTCTTCCAACATGAGAGTAGCATGCTAACAAAGGTATCAACTGTAGCTGTGAACATGACAGGATGTGTGATTACCTAGAAGAGCATCAGGACTGTTTGAGGCAGATGATAGCTATGTGATTAACATGATGATTCAGCCTCTATGGAGAGAGACATCAAGCATGCTCATTTCTGACGTGGAGCTAATCTGAAGTAAACCTTGAATACTGCTTTCTGTTCCTCCATCTTGTGACTGTGTAACTCCCTCTCTTGGATATCAGCATGTGAAGGACACTGTTCAGGAACTAGTTGATGCTCTGTATGTGATGACTCCTTCCATTCTGGAGAGGATCACAGATACATGGATCCTGAGGTTGAAGATCAAGCCGGGGACGAGTGATATTTTTCTATCATGAAGTCATGTGACCGTGCTGTAGTTCCTTTATAGGCTAACGTTAGCTTCTTACTTCAGAAATCATAAAGAAGTGTTAATGTGTGGAGATTATCCTGCTGAACTAAACCTGTAAATATCATAACAATTGAGATTATTTTTGTAATAATCCAAAATCCCATTGAACCAGAGAGATGCTGCCTTCTGAGGACACTGCAACAATATCACACCCCTGCACCACTCTTTTGATCAGTCTCTTTAGTTTGTATTCCTCTGAAGCAGGGGTGTGCAAACTTTTTTCACGAGGGCCACATCACATGAGGTATATCGCCTCATAAATTCAGTTATAAATTATCAAAATCAATCAACTGTAAGTAATTGATGCTTGTGAGTGTTGGCAGCTCATCCCTTAAAACAGAAGATTGATTTTAATGAGGAGAAATAGGACGGGTGTATTTCAAGCTTGTTATGTGAATAAGTTATCAGGCTTTTTTCTCTTCAATTAAGACATGTTAGAAAATGTTTCCAACTTTAATTGACTGCATTTATTTGAAAAGTGGTCTTATTAACACATGAATACTACTGTGATATATATATATATATATTTAAGAAGTACAATATAAGACAAGCACAGGTTTCATTTGTGGGCCATATTCCATTATACTTTTTTCATTTGCTGAGGGCCGATTCAAAATGGCCCCCGGGCCGTAGTTTGGACACCCCTGGTCTAAGTCATGGTGCATTATTGTCGTTTGACCCACATAACTCGATGAACCCAAAAATAGGTTCGTCCAAATGGCACTCCTCGTTCAAACACCCCTCGGAGAAGCCAGATGTTCGGCCACAGTTTCTGTCCTCACAGCCGCTGCCCGTGCCTTCCAGCTCCAAGAGATCCATGACGATGCCGAGTGGCGGGGGGGGGGGGAGAGAAACAGTGAAATCTGAGAAAGCGGCGGGGGGGGGGAGTGTCCCCGGGTTACAGGACGCAGAGGTGACGCACAGCCATGGATTTCCAATGACGCTCAATCACAGATGACACTAGAGGGGAGGAAAGGGATGTGTGGTGAGAGAAAGAAACATATTTACAAGCACTCACATTTAATGTAACTCTCAATGTGTGTTTTCATTTTTTTATCCCCCTTAAATAACAGAATTAATGACATTATTTTTTATGTTTTTGTTGAATTATTATGTGTGCTGTTCTTTATTGATTCATTTTATTTTTGTTTATTTATATATTTGTTTCATCACGTAAGTTTTTTTTTTTTATGCCACTTAAATATAATTATTGTTAACATTCATTTTAATTTGTTTTCTATAATTATTTTTTTATCATATTTAGGCCTGTTATCAAATTAAATCAGATTTTCTTTCGGTTAAAGGAGATTTAAGGACAAAGGAAATCAACAATAAAGAACATTTTATTTTTTAAATGATATCAGACATAATATCATTATCTTAAAACCAGCTTTAATGTACCTCGAAATATCTCAGTGTTAATATATATATTTTCTATTATTTGCTTGATTATCATGATTTCAGTACAAAATACTACATGTGTAGACAAAACAAGTGAATACAATTTTTTTAAGAAAAGATTTAAACTTGTATACAAGATCAAATAAGATAAGATGAGACAAGGTAAGGTGATTATTATGTATATGACATTTTAATTCATGTTCAAATTGATAACTATAATTTTTTCCTTCACGTTAAAAAAATGCTATTGAATATTGAAAACTAATTAAATAAATGAAAAAGTAAAATAAGCAACATATGCAGTTACACATCCATTCAGGATATTATACCATTAACTTAAAATGTAATTACATACATGGTGCTGCTAATGTTGTGCTTTTGCTACTTATTATCTATAAATCTCAGAAAAATACACCTTTAATTTAACATTAGCACATCTACAATAAAAACAAGTGACAGTTAATTATTAAACTACTTATCATTTTCCTGCACAGTGAACATCAGTGATAATGAAATAACATCAAGCAAAATTAAACAAGCCAAGACACACGCGTTGCATTTTACATTAAAGGTCAAATAAAAATACTCACTGTTTGAGAGGAGCTCCATTGCTTGACGTGTCTTCTCTGCTGCGGTCACACACTTGGTCATTGCCGTTATGAACACACACACACACACACACACACACACACACACACACACACACACACACACACACACACACACACCTCACTCTCCCTTCTTATCTCCCTCTATCTTTCTTAGAAATTGGATGTAACTGTTGCATATCTAGTAGTTGTATTACTAGTTACCCTGTTAATATGATTCCTATTTTTATGATTTTTTATTGATTTACAATGTATTAGTTTAAAGAGTCCCTATTTAGCTTTTTGTGGTTTTCCAATTCTATATATATTATTATAAAATGGACCAATCTGCACAATGACTACTTTAACTTTTGTTACTTTAACTTTTATATTTTGATGATAATACTTTTCTACTTTTACATGAGGAACATTTTGAATGCAGGAGTTTTACTGTAACAGAGTATTCCTACACTCTGGTACTTCTACTTTTACTCAAGTACAAGATCTGAGTACTTCTACTTTTACTCAAGTACAAGAACTGAGTACTTCTACTTTTACTCAAGTACAAGATCTGAGTACTTCTACTTTTACTCAAGTACAAGATCTGAGTACTTCGACTTTTACTCAAGTACCAGATCTGAGTACTTCTACTTTTACTCAAGTACAATAGATGAGTAATTATGCTTTTACAAAAGTACAACATCTAAGTACTGACAGACATAAAATATATAAATATCTGATTGAAAAAACACTTAAAACCAACAGAAGTAATTAAACACACACAGTCAAAAAGGACTGTGTACATGTTTTCCTAATTGCAATGTATGCAATTTCTACTGAATTTCACAAGTTGTAATTATTTGAACTGAGCTTTAAAGCCAGTTCAATGACCGTTAAATTCAAATCAAATTAACCATTAGTTTTCATTGCAATCTAGAACTTTCCATGGCCTCTTTACATGGTAGTGGTGATGACATATTACTACGCAGTGAAAAATAGTCCCGGTGTTGAAGTTTTTATATTTTATTTTATTATTTGATTGGAGGCATTTTACAGGGACATTTTTGTTAACGTTATAGCAAGTGAACCACTAGGTTTCAATTCGCTATTATCAAGAGAAGAACTTCATGGATGGATAACGATTAAAAGCAGCGGAGGAATATGTTTTTTTGACGCGATGTGACGGTGAACTGACCGAGAAGCTACGCCAGAGCTACGTACGCAGATCGTTTCGGCTGAAGACAGGTGAGCGGATATTTAACAGTTTTAGGAATGGCACAAAGTAGTTACATGTAGTTTAATTACCACCTAAATGCTGTTTTAATGTTTATAAAGAGATTTCATTTCAGTGTTAATGAAAATGTCAGTTAACCTAACATAACAGGATTAAACATCTTTCAAACTGTTATTTAAAGGGGACCTATCATGCAAAATGCACTTTTCAGAAAAAAGGTGTCAGAAAACACAACCCTCTCTCTTTTCCTCCATACCCAAATCTCTAAAAACGGGGCTGCAACGGACCTGATTAATATTTGAATTTTTCTGACGTCAGAAAAGGGGTGCTCCGCCTATATGGGCAACTCTCCAGCTCAAGCGGCAAACTCTGGGGAACAGCCGGGACGCCAATACGGAAGTGCCACACACTGCAGTTCATACATGGGCCGCTAGGGACTGGCTGCAGAAAGGAGCAATTTCCATAGACCCCCATGTTAAAATGCCCAACTTTACAGCAGAAAAAAACATGTTTCTACCCATGGATGCAATAAATATTATTATCGATATATTTAGATTCCACCTTCATGATTATGAATCTGTGAGTGAATTGTTTTCTAACACGACCCTTTTATTTATATTAGGTCTTAAAGGTTTTGCATAAATTAGGGCGTGGTCACTTTGATGGACACCTACATGCCTCACTGTCAGCTAACAGCAACTTGTCCACTCTGCTAGGCCTACAACATAGAGGCTACAACGTTAGTAGTCATAGTACTGTACTTGACCCTTTAGCGTTCTTTATGACCAGTCCCTATTTACTTACCGGGATACAAACCGGAGGAACCAGGCATGGAGGGATGGAGGAGGTGGCAGAGACAGTGAGTGAAACTGGTAGGTTTTCGCTTGTTTGGGGATTTTATATCCAGTTTACTTCGTTGCTAGTTTACTTCGTTGCTGGCAAGCATAGACAGTATCATTAGCCAGCATGGAATGTAGCATAAAATAGCACCATAGACATTAATCTCATAAATGTTCAAAATGTTAAAAAAAAAATGTTCATCATAGCCCTTCCTATTTGACAATAGTGTAGAAGAACCGGGTTTTTTTGCTTTGTATGTCGGGGGCGGGATATTCATGTGATATTCATGTGATTGGTTGTTGGTCGCGAAATCCCCAAGCTGTCAGACACGCCCAGCTCCAGGATTTTCAAGATTTGGTCAAAGCTGCTGTGTGGACACACCGTTAGCCGTGTTCGTGGTGATTGTGGGAATATTGTTGCAAATACCAGACAATTAAAATGTCGTGCTGTGCGCTTGAATGTACTAACAGAACTTCCAAGAAGTCTACTCTCAGCTTTTTTCGGTGAGTAAAATGATAATATTATACATGTTTGTTAACCCCGTTAACAGGTGTTTGTGTGCTTGTTAGCTTAGCTTGTGATGTAGCTTATTAGCCAGCTAAGGACGTAACCCTTTATACATGTGTATATATATATATATATACATTTTAGTTTATGATTCAGCCTTGGGTAAGACTTTTATAGTATATGGCTATGACGCCCATAATGCTACGGGAGCAAATGTTAAAAGGGGACCCAATTATCCCATAGCTAGCCCCCTGCGGCTCCGTTAGCTTCGGCCAGCGGCGGAGCCCGGCGTTATAACTGGAGATCAAGGAATGCAGCGAAACCATAGAGCGAAATGCGGACTTGGTTCGCCTGCAGCCCGTTATATAGTATTAGCTAAAGAAATGATGTTGAGCAAGGCTTATTAAGCTGAACATCGCCACAATTGTTCTGCTATGTATCGGTACTTATTTTTATTTTCTTAACGTGTGAATGACAAGCATTAAGAATAACAACAAATAGCTATTTATCTTGCACATTGTCTCGTTTGATTATGAATGTAACGTTTATATAGTGGAACTACACTGTTTTATCAAAACCAAAGTGCCACGCAGTAACTTGGTAGGCCCATGCATGTATTTCAGCAGGAAATGTGCAACCTAGATGACATTTACGTTTATGTAAACGCCATTATGTGCCCATCCCCCCATGTGAATCACACCTGCCACACACAAACACACACACAGAACAATTTGACCGTGAACACCAAAGTAAGGGGGGGGGGGGGGGAAACGAAGACAATAGGAGGGTTAAAACCCCTATGCTTTTTGACTGTCACATTTTTACATTTCAATATTGCATCACTAATTTAAGTTCTATGTTTTTCTTGTTAAGCAGTCTGTAACCCTACACACCTAACATATAACTTTTCATGTATTTTTGTATAAAGGTTTCCTTTAGGTGATCCAGACAGGCTGGACCAGTGGGTGCTGAGCATCCGGAGGAATAAATGGACCCCCAACGTTTCTTCTCGTCTGTGCAGTGAACACTTTGAGAGTCATCACTTCAGCACGGACTTATTGGTACAGATCCTTTTAAAAAAACAAAAACTTTTATGGTTCCATTTGTGGATGTAAATTGTTGTTACTAATTAAATAAATCATATCCATCATACAATGCTAAATAATTGTTATGGCACAGCTTGCACATCAGTGATGAGTAATGTTCTTTTGATTAAAGGCCAAATTAAGATTTTGCCAGTATAGAAACAT